TGTGGTCAAATAATAATTAACTAAAAATTAAATCTGGCCATAGATTGTGGAACACTTTTTGCCGTGACGCACGGGGATCCAGATTGTTTTGCAATGTCTGGTTGTCCAACAAAAGTCGCATTCACTTACAGGTCGCTCAGACTTTTCATTCCGATGACAGATTACACTTCCGCAGACAGATTATCTTTCCGATGATGGATTACCCATCCGATAACAGATTACCCTTCCGAAGACAGATTACCGATAATTTAAACAAGCAAATTGAGCCTCGACATTTTGATTTGAAACCAGCAGCATAAAACTGATAATTTTCAAGCAATAAATAAAAAATAGGACAGAGCACACCAAAGAGACCCATTGCGTCTGATGACTGTGTACTTGGGAGGCGATATCCTTCGAGTCTTTGACGTTGTACCTGGGCATTGCTATCAATCCTTCGAGTCTTTGACGTTGTACCTGGGCATTGCTATCAATCCTTCGAGTCTTTGACGTTGTACCAGGGCATTGCTATCAATCCTTCGAGTCTATGGCGTTGTACTTGGGAGGCTATATCAATCCTTAAAGTCTATGACATTGTCATTTGCAGTCTATATCAAACCTTAGAGTGAGGCTCATGTTATTTCGCACAACCATTCTTCCGATTCCAAAATTGTCGCCGATTGAGAATAACTTGCACCGACAGATGTTAGAGAGTAATTTCTTTATGACGTAACAAAGTCGCGTACAGTTTTTAAACTGTTTATTTATAGCTTCACGCAGGAACTTTTGTGACATATAATAATACATATTGTATAAGTGAAGATAGATACATGTATAGATGAAGACACGTACATGTTTAAGTGAAGACTGATACATTTTTTTAATGAATATAGATCCATGTAAACCAATAAATGACATTGCAAAAAAAAGAAAAAAAAAAAAATTACGTTTACATACAGTTTACATAATTGTGATAAGGAAACCATTTTAATGGATAGATTCATCTTATAATATCGACGCTTCTCAAATGGTGAGTTACGGTAAATTTCATAAATGTTTGGACGAAAGCACCAAACCTCGTTTACTATGTTGTTTTAGCCACAGATTTAGCAATTTCATCGTTGTCATATTTTTTGTTTCCATTTTCATTTTAAATTACAACTAAATCCCGAACATAGAAAATACGCATCAAATGTTCAGGTGTTTTCTTTTTGAAAGGTTCCAAACCTCTTCTCTAAGTAGTTGAAAGCATGATGTACGATAGAGCAACATTATCTTTTGAGTAAATAACAGACAATATGTGAGCATATATATATATAACATGATTATGGCACACATGTTAGGCGCAATACCTGTGTAGCAAGCAACTGGTGTGTCCGCAATAACAGCTGTGTTGGTAGCTAAGGCAGGCGTGGCGGTTATGGTTGTGTTGGTAGCTAAGGCAGGGTTGGCGGTTATGGATGTGTTGGTAGCTAGGGCAGGGTTGGCGGTTATGGCTGTGTTGGTAGCTAAGGCAGGGTTGGCGGTTATGGATGTGTTGGTAGCTAAGGCAGGGTTGGCGGTTATGGATGTGTTGGTAGCTAGGGCAGGGTTGGCGGTTATGGCTGTGTTGGTAGCTAAGGCAGGGTTGGCGGTTATGGATGTGTTGGTAGCTAAGGCAGGGTTGGCGGTTATGGATGTGTTGGTAGGTAGGGCAGTGTTGGCGGATTATGGATGTGTTGGTAGCCAGGGCAGGCGTGGTGGTTATGGTTGTGTTGGTAGCTAGGGCAGGGTTGGCGGTTATGGATGTGTTGGTAGGTAGGGCAGTGTTGGCGGATTATGGATGTGTTGGTAGCCAGGGCAGGCGTGGTGGTTATGGTTGTGTTGGTAGCTAGGGCAGGGTTGGCGGTTATGGTTGTGGTGGTAGCTAGGCAGTGCAGGCGGTTATGGCTGTGGTGGTAATTATGGCTGTGTCGGTATTAGTGGCTGTGAATGGATGTATGGTTGCATGGGGAGTTATGGTTGTGTAGAGTGTTATGGTTTTGTTGGCAGCTAAAGGAATTTTTCATTGTGTAGGCAGTTATCGGTAGGCACAGATCGGTAGGCAGCTATCGGTAGGCAGCTACGGTTTTGAAGGCAGTTAATGTTCGGATTTGCCATCTTTGACCAGAAAACTTAAATGCAAAAATCCTAATAGTTTACCCGTAATGTTATTAAAGAATAAATGTCTTTTTTTTTATGTTATCTTAACCTGAGTTTGTCAACGACAAATTCTATTATTTCCGTGCAGTACAATAACCCTCTATAACCTTTGTTTGCGTATCGATGTATTAGACTGCTGTCAGAATCCCTTATTAGCCTACCCCTCCCCTTATCTATTGGACCGGTGATTCCCCCCCCCCCCTTTTTTACCTATACACTTAACTGGCCTGTTCTCTCCCCTATAAAGGGCGTTGGAAATGAGTGGTGGTGGGGGAATCCACCCGGGGGGGGGGGGAATCCACCCGGGGGGTGGGGGACATTTTTAAACCGACCGACCATTATTTTTGTAGGGGGGGGGGGCGCAAAAATCCCCCCCCCCCCCCCGCCCCTGGCGGCACTAACCCAAGCTACGCCACTGCATCTGATGTCATTTCCTTCTCCACGTCTGGGGAAAGGGGGGGGGGGCGCAACGTTTTAAAGGAACTTCACATTCCCCCCCTCCCCCCAAATTCAATTTTTTTTCTTTTCCCTTTCACTTTTCCATTTTCGTAACGTCTGCTGTGGTCTAAGCGTGCAGCTCAAAGAGAGATAAGTTTGGGGAATCTTTCATGTTTAGTGTTCTGAAATGGGTTATCTAACTTTATAGCGGGTGCTTTATTTGATGAGAAAAAACGGAGTTTGGGGGCGAAATGGTTTGAAAAGATAACAAAGACTTGCTGCTGTCAATGACTTGTTGCTGTCAATGACTTGTTGCTGTCAATGACTTGTTGCTGTCAATGACTTGCTGCTGTCAATGACTTGTTGCTGTCAATGACTTGTTGCTGTCAATGACTTGTTGCTGTCAATGACTTGTTGCTGTCAATGACTTGTTGCTGTCAATGACTTGTTTCCTCTAAAGTAAACTTCAACCTTCAGACAAAGTCTGGAAATTTGCTGAATACAAACACCACACAAAAATGACACACACACGCACCAAAACCTACGTTGACATATGCTCAAATGAAAAGAGCTGCCAGTTTGACATGTGTACATATAGAAGATGCTCCCTTTCCTTCTAGTTCACACACTGACACACGCACTGACACACGCACTGACACACAAATGTTATGAGATTTTTTTCATCAATGAATTCAATAAGAATAATCAAAAGGTGAAATATGACCTCTTGAGGTTTGCCAACAACACTGGTGGCCTTTGCATAGTGTGACATGAAGAAAGAGAAGTTTAAAAAAAAAAAAAAAAAAAAAAAAATAAAAAAAAAAAAAAAAAAAAAAAATATCTCCCCTACCTGTGACAAAGACATGAAATTTAAATAAAATATTAAATAATTTTATTTATTTATTTTTTAAAATAAGATTAAAAATTATTTTTTTTAAAAAATCAGAAATTGCCAAGAAAATTTCAAGACGGAATTCAGTAGTAAATTTCCACGATGAGGAGTAAGACGTCACTAAATCAGGAATTCAAGTGTAAAAATAAATAATGCTAAACATTGCGCATGTCATTGGTGACCACGGTACTCTTAAGCGCTGAACGTTTGGGGAGGGTGTAGGAGGGACTTATTTTAAAATTGTTTTATTTTTTTTTTTAAATATTATAAAAACTTCACATTAATAATATACGCTCTCTGTCAAAAGTTCTCTTCTAGTCATTTATCTGCGTGGGTAACCGATTTGAAACAGTGGTCTGGATAAGAAAAGAAAACTGAACAAAGAAACAAAAGAACATTCAAATATATTTTTTAAAATTATTCGCTTGTGTAACTTTGTAAACATGATTACGAGTTGTGTACATAAAATAGATTTAGTGAACACCGTCTCGCAGCCTCTCTTCAATAAGAAATATATATTCAAAAATCTTATTAATTTTTTTTTTAATCTAGAAAAGGCTTCTCAAAATTACAAGAGAGGCGCCATGGCTTGCCCTCGAAAGAGCGGCGCCCTCAATGATAACGACTTATTGAGACATACGTGATGGGGTTCTCAAATTAAAGTAATGATAACGAAAATTTTTTTTAAAAAAATTAAATAAAAAATCAACAATTAGCTGTCGTATTACATGAGAGCAAAAATTCATCCTAAATTGTCAACATTTTCAACCTATAACTATCAACATTTTCAATCTATAATTATCAACATTTTCAACCTTCTAACTATCAACATTTTCATCCTTGAGAAATAATCATATTTTCATTCACAATACAAGATTTTATATGAATATTCATATGTATATAACAAATATACCATCATGATTATATCTATATAACTTATTTACCATCATGATTATATCTATATGCTTATATACCTCCATGATTATATCTATATAATGAAATTTTCATTTCCATATCAAGCCTCACCCGAGGGTGGGGGGGGGAGTTCTATTTATCCCATTAGACCCCAGGGGCGTCTTGACAATTTATTCATCAATGGCACGCTAAAGAACATATTTCAATCCATCAGGCCCCACTGCTCCCCCTTCCCCCTCTGCATCTTCCAACAAAGGCTCCCAGCTCCCCATCCTGCCTCACGACTTTCCCCTACTGAAGCTCCTAATCCTGCCTCACGGCTTGCCCACACCCAAGCTCCCCATCCAGCCTCACGGCTCCCCCACACCCAAGCTCCCCATCCTGCCTCACGGCTCCCCCACACCCCAGCTCTCCATCCTGCCTCACGGCTCCCCCCACACCCCAGCTCCCCATCCTACCTCACGGCTCCCCCCACACCCAAGCCACCCATCCTGCCTCACGGCTCCACCCACACCCCAGCTCCCCATCCTGCCTCACGGCTCCCCCCACACCCCAGCTCCCCATCCTGACTCACGGCTCCCCCCACACCCAAGCTCCCCATCCTGCCTCACGGCTTGCCCCTACTGAAGCTCCCCATCCTGCCTCACGGCTTGCCCCCACTGCAGCTCCCCATTCTGCGCTGGTAGTTGTGCAGGAAACTGTCGAACTGCGTCTTCCAGTCCACGATGTACTTGGTCTTCCATTCATTAAACTGCATCTTCCATTCCGTCTCGGCGTCTGTGATGTTTCCTGTGGGGAGAGAGATGAACATGATCACATGACTTGACCAACAGAATAATCACATGACTTGACCAACATAGACATTGTGGTGAGAGTTGAACATGGCAGCATGGCTTAACCAGCTTGGACAATGGAGAATCTTATTGTGTACAAATGGACCTCCTATTTGGTTTAGTCTTAATTTATTTTAAAAAAAAAATATTTTAAATGTGATGTTGACATGAAAATTTCATAAGGCATTTGTCAACATGTTTAAAAATTAGAAGATGATTTTTTTTTTTTTTGTAAAGACTCATTCTACTACGTTAATGGCTTATCTCATAGGACTCCTCCTAAATGTCAGTCTAAAATTTTAATGACTTTCATTTGACCCCTGTGTGAAATTGTCGGTCAGTTAAAAAAAAACTTACTAAACTTTGGGTGTTGGTCATATCATATATACCATACGTTATAACATATATACCATACGTTATAACATAAATACCATTCGTTATAACATATATACCTTACGTCATAACATAAATACCATACGTTATAACATATATACCATACGTCATAACATGAATACCATACGTTATAACATATATACCATACGTCATAACATAAATAACATACGTTATAACATATATACCATATGTTATAACATAAATACCATACGTTATAACATAAATACCATACGTCATAACATAAATACCATACGCTATTACATATATACCATACGTTATAACATAAATACCATACGTCATAACATAAATACCATACGTTATAACATAAATACCATACGTCATAACATAAATACCATATGTTATAACATATATACCATATGTTATAACATATATATCATACGTTATAACATAAATACCATATGTTATAACATAAATACCATACGTTACAACATAAATACCATACGTTATAACATAAATATCATACGTCATAACATAAATACCATATGTTATAACATATATACCATATGTTATAACATAAATACCATACGTTATAACATAAATACCATACGTTATAACATAAATACCATACGTCATAACATAAATACCATACGTTATAACATAAATACCATATGTTATAACATATATACCATACGTTATAACATAAATACCATATGTTATAACATAAATACCATACGTCATAACATAAATACCATATGTTATAACATATATATCATACATTATAACATATATATCCATCAGATGAAACTTTATAAAAGCTGATTAATATTCTTTGGTCTGTAACCCTGCTAATAAACTATATTTGTGTGTATGTAATTCATAGAGTAAAGTGTAAGTTTACATAGATATGTATTGCATAATATTTATGAAGGATGTCTCTGAATAAATATAATATAAAGAATAATTAATGAAGCCTTATTATGAATTAGGATAATGATGACGGGCCCGATCTATCTCGGCTGCTGATGTGGGCAAAACTTAATCCGTTCGGGGCTTAAGCCCGCCACTCCTCCCACCGGTTTGCGCCATGTCCCCCCCCCCCCCCCCCTCGGGCCCTGACAATGTCGTGAATGGCACTTACCCATGCGTTAGCTGGTGCTGCAGGACTTTGGCATGCTCGGTGTTAGTAGGTGAAGTGGAACGAAACACAAACGAAACAAGACTTTAAGAAAAGACAGGAAGTGACGTATGAAGGTAGTCAATTCGGCAAACCAGCGTGCGAAAAGCAGTGTCAGTGCATTCCTGCAATGGGGGGCTCAATACATATTAGGTTAGTTTTTTTTTTTTTTGGGGGGGGGGTTAGGTGTGGGGGGGGGTGTTAATGACAGGTGGAGGGAGAGAAGGACTTGGGGTCTAAAATAGTGTAAATCTTTCATAATTTAATTTTTAGGGGGGGGGGGGGGGGGGGGCGGGGGTCCATCGACCCTTACACAGGGGTCGACTAAGACCATCAGAAAACACATATTTATGAAATAGAAGCAAAAATTATTTTATGGTTCGGGGCCACCACAACACGAGAAACTGTATTAAAGGGTCGCAGCTTTACGAAGGTTGAGAACCACTGACTTAAAGGATTAGATTTGTGCTACGTGAACACTTAATTTGGGCTTGAAAGCTTAACTAGACAGCAGGTAAATTGCTGGTATATAAGATTGTCTTGATATTAATTAACAGGTACATTGCTAGTATATGAGATTGTCATGATATTAGATATCAGGTAAATTGCTAGTACATGGGATAGTCATGATTATAATTCAAAAAAAAAAAAAAAAAAAAAATATTAAAAAAAAAAAAATTAAAAAAAAAAAAAAAAAAAAAAAAAAAAATATTAAAAAACAGAAAATTCAAAAAGTAATTAACTCTCCAAATAATAACGTCTTGACGATTAAGTCAGATAACAATTCTTTAGAGCACCGATAAAGTCAGATAAAAATTCTTTAGAGGACCAATAAAGTCAGAAAGCGATTCTTTAGTGGATCGAATAACTGACAAACCAATTATTGACATGGATGAACCCACACAATAAGTAACTTGCCTGTATAACTTAGACATCCTTGTACAACTAGCAAACCACTTTATAACTTGCAAACCCCTGTATAACTGGCAAACTCCTGTATAACTGCCAAACCCGTGTATAACTTGCAAACACTTGTATAACTGCCAAACCCGTGTATAACTTGCAAACCCCTGTATAACTGCCAAACCCGTGTATAACTTTCAAACTCCTGTATAACTGTCAAACCCGTGTATAACTTGCAAATCCGTGTATAACTTGCCAACCACTGTATAACTGGCAAAGCCGTGCATAACTTGCAAACCCTTATATAACTTGCAAACCCGTGTATCAAATGCAGGTTTTCTTGTTAGTAAATGGGGTTAAATGGGGTTTATATAACGATACATAATGTAACAGGAAAAAGTTAGTATTTTTGAATAAATATGCAGCTGTAAACGATATTTTAAAGAAGAAATTTTTTGAAGAAATGATGACGCATCAAACGTTCATGCAAATGCCAGGGGTCAACTGAAATACGTCACTCTAATTCATGATGTATTTACAGGGCGTCTCCGTGGCTGCGATCGAGGCAGGCATGTGGGTTTGAACAGCAAATCTTACAAGGGCACGGGCAGGACGGAGACACGATGGCGCAGCAGTACTCACTAGTTTGGGTTAGAAGTTGCGGCAGGTAGATATCCCAGAATGCACAGTCTTGAGCCCGGGGGGCGAACCCCCACGGGTACCCGGGCGAGGTTGAGGCAATGGTCAAGTTGAGGTACGCCTGCTCGTGCTCACGAAACAGTGGCCACTCGTTGACCGGATCTTGGCCAGGAGATTTGTTGGGGTTGCTGTGGGGGGGAAAAAAAACAAAGAGCTGATGATCAATCAGAAGAGTCAGCCATTGTGTGACCTTTGAACTTTGTGCTCGCTATTGTTTTAAGATCTATTAAGGAAATACTGAGCCTTCATTGTCCTACCAGTTTGCGATTCGAAACGAAGCAAGAATAGCACGAATCATGCAGAGTTATTCGATCTTTGAGGGAAATTCAAATGACAAAAAGTCTTTAGAGAACCATTTAAAGTTTTTTGTTTTTTTTTTCATGAGGACATCAGAGTGATGTGAGCATGTTAAAATACCATGAAGGTGTCTATCATCCTCATATGTTTGTAAAAATTATTATATCGTACCTCATACTAGGATTTTTAGCATACCTATAATCAGCTCTGGTATTATCGTTAGTTTTTCTTTGTCATTATGTTATATTAAGTAGGAAATAGTGGAAAAGGGTTAGTTGAAACTTGAACTAGAAGGTATGTTGAAACTTGAAATAGAAGGTATGTTGACACTTGAAATAGAAGGTATGTTGAAACTTGAACTAAAGAGTATGATGAAACTTGAAATAGAAGGTATGTTGAAACTTGAACAAGAAGGTATGTTGACACATGAAATAGAAGGTATGTTGAAACTTGAAATAGAAGGTATGTTGACACTTGAAATAGAAGGTATGTTGAAACTTGAACTAAAGGGTATGATGAAACTTGAAATAGAAGGTATGTTGAAACTTGAACAAGAAGGTATGTTGACACATGAAATAGAAGGTATGTTGAAACTTGAAATAGAAGGTATGTTGACACTTGAAATAGAAGGTATGTTGAAACTTGAACTAAAGGGTATGATGAAACTTAAAATAGAAGGTATGTTGAAACTTGAACTATAAGGTATGTTGACACTTGAAATAGAAGGTATGTTGAAACTTGAAATAGAGGTATGTTGACACTTGAAATAGAAGGTATCTTGACACTTGAAATAGAAGGTATGTTGAAACTTGAACTAAAGGGTATGATGAAACTTGAAATAGAAGGTATGTTGACACTTGAAATAGAATGTAGGTTGAAACTTGAACTAGAAGGTATGTTGAAACTTGAAATAGAAGGTATGTTGAAACTTGAACTAAAGGGTATGATGAAAATTGAAATAGAAGGTATGTTGACACTTGAAATAGAAGGTATGTTGAAACTTGAACTAAAGGGTATGATGAAAATTGAAATAGAAGGTATGTTGAAACTTGAAATAGAAGGTATGTTGAAACTTGAAATAGAAGGTATGTTGAAACTTGAAATAGAGGTATGTTGAAACTTGAAATAAAAGGTATGTTGAAACTTGAACTAGAAGGTATGTTAAAACTTGAACTAGAAGGTATGTTGAAACTTGAAATAGAGGTATGTTGAAACTTGAAATAGAAGGTATGTTGAAACTTGAAATAGAAGGTATGTTGAAACTTGAAATAGAAGGTATGTTGAAACTTGAAATAGAGGTATGTTGAAACCTGAAATAGAAGGTATGTTGAAACTTGAAATAGAGGTATGTTGAAACTTGAAATAGAAGGTATGTTGAAACTTTAACTAGAAGATATGTTGAAACTTAAACTAGAAGGTATGTTGAAACTTGAACTAGAAGGTATGTTAAAACTTGAACTAGAAGGTATGTTGAAACTTGAAATAGAGGTATGTTGAAACTTGAAATAGAAGGTATGTTGAAACTTGAAATAGAAGGTATGTTGAAACTTCAAATAGAAGGTATGTTGACACTTGAACTAGAAGGTATGTTGAAACTTGAACTAGAATGTATGTTGAAACTTGAAATAGAAGGTATGTTGAATGTTGAAATAGAAGGTATGTTGAAAGTTGAAATAGAAGGTATGATGAAACTTGAACAAGAAGGTATGTTGACACATGAAATAGAAGGTATGTTGAAACTTGAAAAAGAAGGTATGTTGAAACTTGAAATAGAGGTATGTTGAAACTTGAAATAAAAGGTATGTTGAAACTTGAACTAATAGGTATGTTAAAACTTGAACTAGAAGGTATGTTGAAACTTGATCTAGAAGGTATGTTGAAACTTGAAATAAAAGGTATGTTGAAACTTGAAATAGAAGGTATGTTGAAACTTGAAATAGAAGGTATGTTGAAACTTGAAATAGAGGTATGTTGAAACCTGAAATAGAGGTATGTTGAAACTTGAAATAGAGGTATGTTGAAACTTGAAATAGAAGGTATGTTGAAACTTGAACTAGAAGGTATGTTGAAACTTGAAATAGAAGGTATGTTGAAACTTGAAATAGAAGGTATGTTGAAACTTGAAATAGAAGGTATGTTGAAACTTGAAATAGAAGGTATGTTGAAACTTGAAATAGAAGGTATGTTGAAACTTGAAATAGAAGGTATGTTGAAACTTGAAATAGAAGGTATGTTGAAACTTGAAATAGAAGGTATGTTGAAACTTGAAATAGAAGGTATGTTGAAACTTGAAATAGAAGGTATGTTGAAACTTGAAATAGAAGGTATGTTGAAACTTGAAATAGAAGGTATGTTGAAACTTGAAATAGAAGGTATGTTGAAACTTGAAATAGAAGGTATGTTGAAACTTGAAATAGAAGGTATGTTGAAACTTGAAATAGAAGGTATGTTGAAACTTGAAATAGAAGGTATGTTGAAACTTGAAATAGAAGGTATGTTGAAACTTGAAATAGAAGGTATGTTGAAACTTGAAATAGAAGGTATGTTGAAACTTGAAATAGAAGGTATGTTGAAACTTGAAATAGAAGGTATGTTGAAACTTGAAATAGAGGTATGTTGAAACCTGAAATAGAGGTATGTTGAAACTTGAAATAGAGGTATGTTGAAACTTGAAATAGAAGGTATGTTGAAACTTGAACTAGAAGGTATGTTGAAACTTGAAATAGAAGGTATGTTGAAACTTGAAATAGGAGGTATGTTGAAACTTGAACTAGAAGGTATGTTGAAACTTGATCTAGAAGGTATGTTGAAACTTGAAATAAAAGGTATGTTGAAACTTGAAATAGAAGGTATGTTGAAACTTGAAATAGAAGGTATGTTGAAACTTGAAATAGAGGTATGTTGAAACCTGAAATAGAAGGTATGTTGAAACTTGAACTAGAAGGTATGTTGAAACTTGATCTAGAAGGTATGTTGAAACTTGAAATAAAAGGTATGTTGAAACTTGAAATAGAAGGTATGTTGAAACTTGAAATAGAGGTATGTTGAAACCTGAAATAGAAGGTATGTTGAAACTTGAAATAGAAGGTATGTTGAAACTTAAAATAGAGGTATGTTGAAACTTGAAATAGAAGGTATGTTGAAACTTGAACTAGAAGGTATGTTGAAACTTGATCTAGAAGGTATGTTGAAACTTGAAATAAAAGGTATGTTGAAACTTGAAATAGAAGGTATGTTGAAACTTGAAATAGAATGTATGTTGAAACTTGAAATAGAGGTATGTTGAAACCTGAAATAGAAGGTATGTTGAAACTTGAAATAGAAGGTATGTTGAAACTTGAACTAGAAGGTATGTTGAAACTTGAAATAGAAGGTATGTTGAAACTTGAAATAGAAGGTATGTTGAAACTTGAAATAAAATGTATGATGAAGCTTGACAACAAAAGGTATGTTGCAGCTTGAGATTTAAAAAAGAAAAAAAAAGAGGAATATGAATGTATAACTTCCGACTGAGAGCTTTCTTCAACAGAGAAAGCAAAACAAGAAACAACAAGAAATAGAAAGCAGTTTCAGAACTTACGAGTTTGGAGTTTGCCATGTCGCAAGGGAATACAAAGTTATTGCTGGTAGTTCCATGTAATCATTTCTAATCAACCAGTTTATCGAATTTATAGAGTTTTTATCGATTTCTTGGTTCATTAATATTTAAAAATAAGTATCATGAGTTCAATAAAATTTTTGTATCAAACAAAATCAAATACTTTTTTAGCAATCACTACTATCCTTTGAAGGAAAAAAAAAAAAAGCCATTTTAATTTGTTCTAGTGACATTCTTATTTTATCACCTAATAACATTCTCATTTTATCAACTTGTAACAAATTTAAAAATAATTCTCCTGAGTTCAAAAAAATTTTTGTAACAAACAAAATCAAATACTTTTTTAGCAATCACCACTATCCTTTGAAGGAAAAAAAAAAAAAAAGCCATTTTAATTTGTTCTAGTGACATTCTTATTTTATCACCTAATAACATTCTCATTTTATCAACTTGTAACATTATTATTTTTAACACCCCTAAGCAATCCTTCTCAAATTCCAATCATCATCTTTAATTAAAAATAAATATCCTCATTTCAGCTATTCTTATCTCTTATATTATGACGATGCTGGTCCGCTAACGAAGACAATGCTCTAAAAGGCATTCCGACCCCATAAGCTGACTGACCCGGTTTTGGCAAAATTCGTCCAGTATCTCATCATGTCTCGGCTCAGCTTCTTCTCCGCCTCCGTGAAGGACAATGAGCCGTTCATGGGATGCCCGAACGTGAACCAGATCTCATCGGCGTGGAGGACCCCGGCCCACTCTGGCCACGGGCTCGCCGACCACCTGTGATTGAACCAGTAGTAGTACACGGGGAGGTTTTTTCTCGCGAAGGCCTTGGCGAAATAGTTGACCGGACAAACGAAGTAGAAGTCGCTGATGGCGCGGTCCAAGGACTTGCGCAGCAATATCTCATCGTCGGGGTTCACCCAGTCTCTGTAATGAAATGCGATGGCGTCCTTCCCGATTTTGCTCATCGACTCTGGGAAATATGGGTAATAATCAAACATTTGCGCCACGATTTCTGGGTATAAGGTTTTACTTATGGGGCTGCTTGTGTTCATGCGGAACCACTCTGCAAAGTAAAGCATGAAATAGGTCGCTTCATTTTCATTGCTGCCGATGAGGATTGGAATTTGTGGGAATAGGTCGTGATCTAACGACTCCTTCGGGTCCCTGCTGATGAGCACGCCGTCCACCGTCGGGACGAAAGGGAACTGAACCATCCCCGTGGAGATCGTCTGTTCTTTTTTCAGGAAATCTGTGGCGTTCTTGGTGCGCATACAGCGCGCAACGTAACCGTCGTCTCCGTCCTTGGAGCAACCCAAAAATGAGGCTAACAAACGTGACCTTAAAACAAGTGTGTGTTTCGGCAGGGCCCCCCATTTCGCCTGAGGGGAACCGCTTTGGAGGATCGCTTTTTGGAAATAATTCCTGCACGTGTTGCAAAGAAGCAAGAGGCCCACGCTGACGGCACCGGCGCTCTCTCCCATGATGGTCACATTTTCGGGACTCCCCCCGACTTTTTCGATGTTTTTTGAGATCCACTCAAGCGCCATCCTCTGGTCCCCCAATCCGGCGTTCCCTGGCGCTTCCGATGTTTCCAGGGTCAGAAAGCCCAGGGTGCCGACCCTGTATTGTATTGATACAACTATAACATCATTCTCGACGGCCAGATGGTGGGCCATGTAGATATCCAGCGTCGAGGACCCACTGTAGAACGCTCCCCCGTATATCCAAACCATCACAGCCTTATCTTTGTACGGCGGGTTAGTCCTGGGCACCCACACGTTGAGATACAAGCAATCCTCGCTGGTCGGCGTGTTGGCGTTCCACATTGTGGCGCCGGAGAAGTCGCCGAAAAACTCATCGTTGATCTGGATGCAAGAATTGGGAAGCTTGGTGGCATTGAGGGTGTATCCCCGACGCACGATGGGTTCTGGTTGCCGGTACCGGAGATCTCCGATCGGGGGCTTGGCGAACGGGATCCCGTAGAAAACGTCGACTTTCTTCTCATTGGTTGTCGTGGTGAAGCCGCGGACTGGGCCCTCCGTCGTTTCCCAGAGCGGGGCCTCACCCCACTCGTGGGCGACGTGGCCGACGACAAGGGCCAGGACGTTGCAGGACACGAGAAATATTCGGACATGGTCTACAGCCATCGTGGGAAGGAAGGACGCCTGACCTAGCTGCCTGGTTTACCTGTCCACGTCCAGGTGGGTTTTGCCGATCCAGTCAAGGTAGATCTCCTTTCTGTGTTAAAGAGATGACGAAATAATTATTGTACTGTGTAATATAAATATGTAGTTCTTGTAATGTGTAATATAAAATTAAATTATTTGACTGCACAGTGAAAATATCCTTATCCCACTGTGCAATTTAAGATATAATTATTACAGGCAACATAACATTTTATTTTTTTGCACTTTATAATATAAAATATAATTTTTGGCTCGTGTTATTTAAAGTGTAAAATAAAGAATGTATAAATTGCACTGTCTAATATAACAGATAGTCATGAGAATGTGTAAAATAAAATATAATTATTGCACAGCAAAATACAAAATGTAAATATTGCAAGGTGTAAAAACCTTCAGACAGACATCTATATTACCTTATGACGGAAATCCATATACCCCTCAGACAGACATCCATATACCCCTCTGACGAACATCCACATACCCCTAAGACGGACATACATATACCCCTAAGACAGACATCTCTATACCCCTTAGACATACCTCCATTTACCCCATTGTTGACTGTGTTTAAAGTTAGTTTGAATTTAATTAAATTAATTTTTATCTACACGGCACCCGTATTCAGGTTTTCTTTCTGCTATATTTGTCCGGGGGGAGGGGGAGGGGGCTCTGGCCCCCCGGGTAAAGCCATGTGACCCCCCCCCTGAGCAAAAATTTGTCCAACAAAAAATCAACTGGCACTGCAGCCCGCCCCCCTGAAAAATCTGAAGTGCCCGCGCCCCCCCCCCACGCGCCCCCCCCCCCGGGGAAATTTCTGAAATAATCACTGCCCTTCATGTATCCATAGAATGCCCAGGGTCAGAAAGTCATGGCACACAAGGCTGCCGAACACAAGGCCTTCAAATGAAACGTAACATTCTTTTGTTAAAATGACTTTGGTGAATTGACTTTGTAGGAATGACTTTGTAAGAATGACTTTGAAGGAATGACTATGTTTCGATGCCTTTGTTGAAATTACTTTTTTAAATGACTTTTTTGAAATGACTTTGTTGAAATGATTTTGTTGAAAAGGCATTGTGGAAAGGACTTTGTTAAAATGACCTTGTTGAAATGACCTTGTTGAAATGACCTTGTTGAAATGACCCAACACAACGGTGGTCATTTGATCCAACACAACGGTGGACATTTGACCCAACACAAAGATTGACAGTTGACCCAAAAACACAGAGGACAGATGACCCAACAAAAGAGTGGAAAGTTCACACAACAACAGAGTGGACAGTTGACCCAACAACACAGTTGACCTAACAACAAAGTGGACAGTTGACCCAAAAACACAGTGGATAGTTGACCCAACAACAGAGTGGACAGTTTACCCAAAAACACAGTGGATAGTTGACCCAACAACAGAGTGGACAGTTTACCCAAAAACACAGTGGGCAGTTGACCCAACAACAGAGTGGACAGTTTACCCAAAAACACAGTGGATAGTTGAACCAAAAAAAAACAGTGGACAGTTCACCCCAAAAAGCAGTGGACAGTTGACCCAACAACAGTGTGGAAAGTTGACCCAACAACATAGTGGACAGTTGACCCAACAAAACAGTGGACAGTTGACCCAACAAAACAGTGGACAATCGACCTATTAACAGAGTGGAAAGTTTACCCAACAACAGAGTGGACAGTTGACCCAACACAAACGTTGGACAGTTGACCCAACAACAGAGTGGACAGTTTACCCAATATCACATTGGACAGTTGACCAAACAACACAGTGGACAGTTGACCCAACACAACGGTGGACAGTTGACCCAACAACAGAGTGGACAGTTTACCCAACATCACAGTGGACAGTTGACCAAACAACAGAGTGGACATTTGACCCAACAACACAGTGTGCAGTTGACCCAACACAACGGTGGACAGTTGACCCAACAAAACAGTGGACAGTTGACCCAACACTACGGTGGACATTTTACGCAATGCCATTATTCAGTCCCTTGACCCAAACAAGCAACAACCCAAGCCCTCTTAGCCTTATAGTCATCACGATGTTTGAGAACCTCTGATTATTTCAACATCCTAACACATTTAGTTCAACAAAGGATTTCTCGTTCTCTAAATGCCTCCATCCCAGATAAATCCAGTTCTAGATCACCATCCCAGGTAATCCAGTACCTCCGCCCCCACCCGCAGATAACTCCAACAAATTAGCCAGCACATTTTCACCAACTAAACCAAGATCATTCAAGCATATTTGTCACATTTCATCCCAAATTATTCCGGCACATAAGCCCCACTTCATCATAGATAATTCTAGCACATTTTCTCCACCTAAACCCAGATAATTCCAGCTCAATTCCCCACCTCATCCCAGATAATTCCAGCGCATTTGGCACAGTACATTCTAGATAATACCATTACAATTGCCCCAGTACATCCTAGATAATTCCAGCACATTTGTCCCACTTCATCCTAGATAATTCCAGTACATTTGTCCCATTACATCCTAGATAATACCAGTACATTTGTCCCATTACATCCTAGATAATTCCGGTACATTTGTCCCATTACATCCTAGATAATAACAGTACATTTTCACCACCTAAACCCAGATAATTCCAGCATGTTTGTCCCACCTCATCCCAGATAATTCCAGTGCATTTGGCCCATTACATCCAAGATAATACCAGTACATTTGTCCCAGTACATCCACTTCATCATAGATAATTCTAGCACATTTTCTCCACCTAAACCCAGATAATTCCAGCACAATTCCCCACCTCATCCCAGATAATTCCAGCGCATTTGGCCCATTACATTCTAGATAATACCATTACAATTGCCCCAGTACATCCTAGATAATTCCAGCACATTTGTCCCACTTCATCCTAGATAATTCCAGTACATTTGTCCCATTACATCCTAGATAATACCAGTACATTTGTCCCATTACATCCTAGATAATTCCGGTACATTTGTCCCATTACATCCTAGATAATAACAGTACATTTTCACCACCTAAACCCAGATAATTCCAGCATGTTTGTCCCACCTCATCCCAGATAATTCCAGTGCATTTGGCCCATTACATCCAAGATAATACCAGTACATTTGTCCCAGTACATCCACTTCATCATAGATAATTCTAGCACATTTTCTCCACCTAAACCCAGATAATTCCAGCACAATTCCCCACCTCATCCCAGATAATTCCAGCGCATTTGGCCCATTACATTCTAGATAATACCATTACAATTGCCCCAGTACATCCTAGATAATTCCAGCACATTTGTCCCACTTCATCCTAGATAATTCCAGTACATTTGTCCAATTACATCCTAGATAATACCAGTACATTTGTCCCATTACATCCTAGATAATTCCGGTACATTTGTCCCATTACATCCTAGATAATAACAGTACATTTTCACCAACTAAACCCAGATAATTCCAGCATGTTTGTCCCACCTCATCCCAGATAATTCCAGTGCATTTGGCCCATTACATCCAAGATAATACCAGTACATTTGTCCCAGTACATCCTAGATAATTCCAGCACATTAGACCCACTTCATCCCAGATAATTCCAGCTCAATAGACCCACTTCATCCCAGATAATTCCAGCACATTTGTCCCACCTCATCCCAGATAATTCCAGCGCATTTGGCCTATTACATCCTAGATAATACCAGTACATTTGTCCCAGTACATCCTAGATTGTCCCAGTACATCCTAGATAATTCCGGTACATTTGTCCCATTAGCTCCTAGATAATTCCAGTACATTTGTCCCATTACATCCTAGATAATTCCGGTACATTTGTCCCATTACATCCTAGATAATAACAGTACATTTTCACCAACTAAACCCAGATAATTCCAGCATGTTTGTCCCACCTCATCCCAGATAATTCCAGTGCATTTGGCCCATTACATCCAAGATAATACCAGTACATTTGTCCCAGTACATCCTAGATAATTCCAGCACATTAGACCCACTTCATCCCAGATAATTCCAGCTCAATAGACCCACTTCATCCCAGATAATTCCAGCACATTTGTCCCACCTCATCCCAGATAATTCCAGCGCATTTGGCCTATTACATCCTAGATAATACCAGTACATTTGTCCCAGTACATCCTAGATTGTCCCAGTACATCCTAGATAATTCCGGTACATTTGTCCCATTAGCTCCTAGATAATTCCAGTACATTTGTCCCATTAGCTCCTAGATAATACCAGTACATTTTCACCACCTAAACCCAGATAATTCCAGCATGTTTGTCCCACCTCATCCCAGATAATTCCAGCATGTTTGTCCCACCTCATCCCAGATAATTCCAGCATGTTTGTCCCACCTCATCCCAAATAATTCCAGCATGTTTGTCCACCTCATCCCAGATAATTCCAGCGCATTTCGACCATTACATCCTAGATACTACCAGCACATTTGTCCCAGTTCCCTAGATAATTCCAGCACATTAGACCCACTTCATCCCAGATAATTCAAGCACATTTGTCCCAGTTAATTCCAGATAATTCCAGCACATTTTTCCCACTTCATCCCAGATAATTTCAAAAGATTGGAAAGAATGATATCTCATCAAGTTCCCAAAGAAAGGTGATCTCAGCAATTGTGCTAATTACAGAGGAATCACATTGCTATCTGCACCAGGAAAGGTCTTAAACAGAATTATTTTGAACAGAATGAAAGACCAGGGCGACATCCAGCTACGAGATCAACAGGTCGGCTTTCGTCAAAACAGATCATGCAGAGATCAAATCGCAACTCTAAGAATCATTATAGAACAGTCCATCCACTGTTCCAGTATTAAACAGAAACTCGTCCCTCTCCCCCATAGACAGCGACGAGGCCATGACAGGCAATTCAGGCTCATACCAGCAAGAAGCCAGTATAGGAGCTGCTCATTCCTGCCCAAGACAATCAGGATCAAGCCTTCAAACCCCTAGTGCATAATTTCCTCATCACCACCAGTAACAGAAACATTGCAAATCCCATCTACATGCATAGGAGCCAAAATGATCAATAAATTGATCGTGGGCCCTTAAGATATAGAAGAAGAAGAAGAAGAATGGAACTTCCCCCTACATATAAATTTTATAGACTACGAAAAGGCCTTTAATAGCCTGGACGACAAACTTTGTGGAAACTTCTTCGGCACTATGGAGTACCAGGAAAACTAGTCAGGATCATCCAGAGCTCCTATAAAGAAATGACATGCAGGGTGGTCCAGGAAGGTAGACTCACAGATTCCTTTACAGTCGAAACAGAAGTCAGACAAGGATGCCTCTTATCCCCATTTCTATTCATCATTGCCATTGTCTGGATAATGAAAAAAAATCCACAGAAAAAAAGAGGAATGGGATACAGTGGACACTCTGGGAACAACTGAATGACTTAGAATTTGCAGACGACATTGCACTTCTGTCCCACAACCAGCAACAAATGCAGGAAAAGGCAAAAGACGTAGCCACCTTTTCAGCACAGCTTGGTCTAAATATAAATGAAAGCAAGACAAAAATCATGAAGGTAAACTCATCCAACCAAGAGCATATCTATCTGGCAGGAAAGGCACTGGAAGAAGTGGAGGCCTTCACATACTTAGGGGCAGCACCATCGACACAAATGGCGGATCCAATGCGGACGTAAGGGCCAGAATTAGAAAAGCTAGATCATAATTGGTGCTGTTAAAGAAAACATGGGAGTCGAAGGAGCTGAAACTGCAAACCAAAGTTAGAATCTTTATTACAAATGTTAAAAAAGTTCTACTATATCGAGCAGAAACGTGGAAAACAACAGCGAGCATGACGCAGAAAGTGCAGACATTCATAAACACATGCCTTAGAAAGATCCTAAACGTCAAATGGCCAAATACTATCACCAAAAAAATATATACTAGAAAGGACATACCAGGTGCCCATTGATGAAGATATCATAAAGAAAAGATGGAGATGGATACGCTCCGAAGACCCCCAGGATAGCACCACCAGAAAACCCCTAACATGGAACTCACAGGGGAAAAGAACGAGAGGAAGGCCTAAGAATACATCGAGACGAGAGCTAGAGGCGGACACACAAAACTTGAGATACGCCTGGAAGCAATTGGAAAGGAAAGCACATGACCGTGATTAGTGGAAAATCCTTGTGGACTGCCTATGCCCCAGACGGGGTAAAAAGGCATAAGTAAGTAAGTAAGTAAGCCCTCTTAGCACAACAGTCATTACGATGTTTGAGAACCTCTGATTATTTTTAGCACCCTAACACCTTTTTTGAGCAAAGGATTTCCCGTGTCTCTAAATACCTCCACCCCAGATAAATACAGCGCCTAGGCCCTCATCCCCGATAATCCAGCATCAAGGCCCCCAACCCAAGTAAATCCATTACCTAGATCACCACCCCAGATAATCAAGTACCTAGGCCCCCATCCCCAGATAATTCCAACACATTTGCCAGCAAATTTTCCCCACCTAAACCCCGATAATTACAGCACATTTGTCCCATTTCATCCCAGATAATTCAAGCATATTTGTCCCACTTCATCGCAAATTATTCCGGCACATTAGCCCCACTTCATCCCAGATAATTCCAGCACAATTCCCCACTTCATCCCTGATAATTCCAGCATATTTGCCCCACTTCATCCCAGATTATTGCAGCACATTTGTCCCACTTCATCCAAGATATTTCCAGCACATTTGACCCACCTCATCCCAGATAATTCCAGCGCAATAGGCCCATTACATCCTAGATAATTTAGACTCACTTCATTCCAGATAATGCCAGCACATTTGTCCCAGATCATTCCAGATAATTCCAGCACATTAGTCCCACTTCATCCTAGATTATTTCAGCACATTTGTCCCAGTTCATCCCAGATAATTCCAGCACATTTGTCCCACTTCATCCAAAATAATTCCAGCACATTTGTCCCACTTCCTCCCAGATAATTCAAGCACATTGGCCCCATTCCTTCCCAAATAATTCCAGCACCCCTCTACCCCCCACCCCGCCCATTACTGTAGTCGGCCGTTTCATATGTTGAGGCGTGCTACCAAAGTTAAAAAAAGTAAAGGGTGGGGGGGGGGCGATGGGTGAGGGGGTGGATGAGGATCAGTTTTGGATTCCAATTTGGGGACTATTTCAGGCAACCTCCTACGCCATCCTATCGACATTTATTGGCAATATTGACTGATTGCTTGGGCTCAACCTTCTCTCTTATCTTGACTCTGGCATCTTCTTACCGTCGTGTCAAGAAGTGGTCCAGTGACTGGTATGAAGGGGGTCCATTGACTGGTGTGTAGGCGTCCATTGACTGGTGTGTAGGGGTCCAATGGCTGGTGTGAAGAGGCCGTTGACTGGTGTGAAGGTGTCTAATTACTTGTATGAAGAGGTCCAAAGAGTGGTATGAAGAGGTCCAATGAGTGGTGTGAAGCGGTCCAATCACTGGTGTGAAGAGGTCCAGTCACTGGTGTGAAAAGGTCCAATTACTGGTGTTAAGAGGTCCAATTACTAGTGTGAAGAGATCCAATGAGTGGTATGAAGATGTCCAATTACTGGTTTGAAGAGGTCCAATGACTGGTGTGAAGAGGTCCAATGACTTGTGTAAAGAGTTTTACTGACTTGTGTAAAGAGGTCCAATGACTTGTGTAAAGAGTTCCAATAACTAGTATAAAAAAGTCCGATGACTGACTTGAGATGATGGATGACTGGTGATGTTTTGTTTTGTGCTAAAGCAAAATTAACAGAAGAGTGGGGATTGTCTAGGGGTCAAAACGAACAAGTCGGCGAATTGACCTTAAATGGGCGTATAAGACTTAACGGGGCGTATTGACCTTAAAATGGGCGGATGGACCTTATCTTGGGTGTACTGGCCTTAACGAGGGCGTATGAAGCCAAGTGTAGACAGATTGACGTCACTGAGTAGCCTGTTCGTCATTGAGTCCCAGCTAAATTGTTCAAATGGGGGTGGGGGGTGGGTGTGTGAACCCCAACAACCGAGTCATGTTGACTCTCCCTACGGCTACAAAGGATATGGTGTGTGTTCGCTCTGGTGTTTGTCCCCATCGGTGTTATACGATCAGCTGTATAGGCTGACAGGATGTGATGGCTGGATGGGGGGGGGGGGCTGGATGGGATGACTGGATGGGATGGCTGGGTGGGATGGCTGGGTGAGGGGGCTGGGTGGCATGGCGGGGGGTCGGAAGAGCACACGGCTGAACTCCAGTCCCCACCGGAGCTCGAGGGGGGGGGGGGGGGGGTGGAGGGGATGACTGGATGGGATGGCTGGATGGGATGGCTGGATGAGAGGGCTGGATGGCATGGCTGGATGGGATGACTGAATGGGATGGCTGGATATGATGACTGGATGGAATGACTGGATGGAATGACTGGATGAGAAAGCTGGAAGGGATGGCTGGAAGGGATGGCAGGAAGGGATGGCTGGATGGGAAGCTGGATGGGAAGCTGGAAGGGAAGCTGTTTGAGATGGTTGGATTAAATAACTGGATTGGATAATTGGATTGGATGACTGGGTGCGTTGGCTGGAAGGGATGACTGGATGGGATGACTTGATGGAATGACCGGAAGGGATGGCTGGATGGGATGACTCTATGTGATTGCTGCAAGGGATGGCTAGATGGGTTGCTGAATGGGATGACTGTATGGAATGGCTGGAAATGTAGACAAGTCAGTCAGAAAGACAGTTTCGCAACGTAAATAAGCGCATTTATTTTTCCCTGAAAGATGACGATTCTACATCTGGGGTCTCCGAGATTTAGAAATAAAAGATCTATGTTAGTATCCCAGCTCAAACTAGAGATCAATGTTAGTATCCCAGTACTAAATGGAGATCTATGTTAGTATCCCATCACAAACTAGAGGTCTATGTTAGTATCCCATCACAAACTAGAGACCTATTTTAGTATCCCACAAAATACTAGAGATCTATGCTAGTATCCTATCACAAATTAGAGATCTATGTTAGTGACCCATCACAGACTAGAGATCTATGTTAGTGTCCCATCACAACCAGTGGATCTGTTACCTGGGTAAGACGAGAGACCAGTCTATCCTCAAGCTACCGGTGGTCTACCGGTGCAATCTTCTTATTCTTGCAGACCTCTAATGTGCCAACTCATTAAGGGGCGCACTCGCACGAGGGGGGGGGGGGCTTTGGGGGCAATTATTTGTTGGCAATATGGCAAACGAGGATAGAACAAAGATCTTCTGTGTTTTACGATGGGCTTTTAAAGGCTGACGAAAAAAATCATTCTCTTATGTTTAATTTTAGTTTTAGAGGGTTTTTAAAAAAACTTAATGTGTTTTTGTTTTTGTTTTGTTGTTTGATGTTTTATGGACGAGCAGATGGAGAAGGAGAGTATGGAAGAGATGGAGGAGAGGGAAGAAATGGATTCGTTTTCAACATAAACAGGGTAAGGAGGGGAGTAATTTCACACGAGGGCAAGCATTTCATTTAAGGGTGTTTATAGAGCAGTTGAACTAGGGGCAGGTATTTCCTATAAGGGCGTTTATAGAGCAGTTGGGCTAGGGACAGGTATTTCATCTAAGGGTGTTTATAGGGCAGTGGGCTAAGGAAAGGTATTTCATTTAAGGATGTTTATAGAGCAGTTGGGCTAGGTGCAGGTATTTCATCTAAGGGTGTTTGTAAGGCAGTGAGCTAGGTGCAGGTATTTCATCTAAGGGTGTTTGTAAGGCAGTGAGCTAGGGGGATGTATTTCATCTAAGGGTGTTTGTAAGGCAGTAGTCTAGGGGAAGGTATTTCATCTAAGGGTGTTTATAGAGCAGTGGGCTAGGGGCAGGTATTTCATCTAAGAGTGTTAGTATGACAGTGAGCTATGTATTTCATCTAAGGATGTTTGCAGGGCTGTGGGCTGGTATATTCTCCGAGGTTTCTGTTATTAGTCGCAGGATTAGGGAAAGTTGGTTCCTCCGGGTTGTTCCTAGGGCACAGGGTTTGGGAAGTTAGTTCCTCCGGGTTGTCCCTAGGGCACAGGGCTTGAGACAGTTCGGTCCTCCAGGTTGTCCCTAGGGCACAGGGTTTGAGACAGTTAGTTCCTCCGGGTTGTCCCTAGGGCACAGGGTTTGGGAAAGTTAGTTCCTCCGGGTTGTCCCTAGGGCACAGGGTTTGGGAAAGTTGGTTCCTCCAGGTTGTCCCTAGGGCACAGGGTTTGGGAAAGTTAGTTCCTCCGGGTTGTCCCTAGGGCACAGGGTTTAAGAAAGTTGGTCCTCCGGGTTGTCCCTAGGGCATAGGGCTGGAGACAGTTGGGTCCTCCGGGTTGTCCCTAGGCCACAGGGTTTGAGACAGTTAGTTCCTCCAGGTTGTCCCTAGGGCACAGGGTTTGAGACAGTTAGTTCCTCCGGGTTGTCCCTAGGGCACAGTGTTTGAGACAGTTAGTTCCTCCGGGTTGTCCCTAGGGCACAGGGCTTGAGACAGTTGGGTCCTCCGGGTTGTCCCTAGGGCACAGGGTTTGAGACAGTTAGTTCCTCCGGGGTTGTCCCTAGGGCACAGGGTTTGAGACAGTTGGGTCCTCCGGGTTGTCCCTAGGGCACAGGGTTTGGGAAAGTTAGTTCCTCCGGGTTGTCCCTAGGGCACAGGGTTTGAGACAGTTAGTTCCTCCGGGTTGTCCCTAGGGCACAGGGTTTGAGACAGTTAGTTCCTCCGGGTTGTCCCTAGGGCACAGGGTTTGGGAAAGTTAGTTCCTCCGGGTTGTCCCTAGGGCACAGGATTAGGGAAAGTTAGTTCCTCTGGGTTGTCCCTAGGGCACAGGGCTTGAGACAGTTGGGTCCTCCGGGTTGTCCCTGGGGCACAGGGTTTGGGAAAGTTAGTTCCTCCGGGTTGTACCTAGGGCGCAGGATTAGGGAAAGTTAGTTCCTCCGGGTTGTCCCTAGGGCATAGGGTTTGGGAAAGTTAGTTCCTCCGGGGTTGTCCATAGGGCACAGGGTTTGGTGTAGTTGTTTTCTCCAGGGGCGTCCATAGGGCGCAGGGAATGGGACAATTTTTTTTCTCCAGGGGCGTCCATAGGGCGGTGGGAATGACACGACCGACCCAAGCTCCATCCTAGAGGAAAAATCGTTCCACCGGTTGTAGACTTCTGGGTGTGGTAAGGGGTGGAGGGGGCGGGGGTGGAGGGCACTGTCTGGATATCTTAAGCCCCCCCCCTCAAAAGCAAAAACAAAATTCGAATGATTCCCTCACACACGGACGTGCCACTAATTTCTTGTGTCCCTTGGGAACAGTGTTTCAACCCAGCTTTTTATAGCTGTATCAGTGTGTCTAAAAATTGTATAGATCAATTTTTGTCTAAAAATTGCAGAGATCAATTTTTGTCTAATAATTGTATAGATCAATTTTTGATTGGTACAAGAGGAGATGAAAGCCTTTGAGATTTATTTCGATTTTTGTATGACATAAAGCCAACGTGCGCGGTCAAAGCAAACAAATATTTGAACAGTTCGAACACAGCCATGTCCTCACAATCTTTGGAGCTTTACCGCGTTATTCCTGACAAGTTATTTGACACATTTCTCATATCCGTAAGCCCCCCAAAAATTTGACCTCAAGTTTTAAAAACAGATTAAAAGACAACAAACAAACAAGCATTAAAAACAAAAAAAACAACCAATCAACGGGAACACATTGATCAAAGAGTCTTGAAACGTTGAGTTTTTTTTTTTTTAAGCAACATGTGTACACCAACATTACCTTCATTCTATTTTTAACTTTTTGGGTTGGGGGGGGGGGGTTAAAAACACAGGAACACATTGATCAAAGATTCTTGAAACGTTGAGTTTTTTTTTTTTAAGCAACATGTGTACACCAACATTACCTTCATTCTATTTTTAACTTTTTGGGTTGGGGGGGGGGTGTTAAAAACACCTGTTTGTCTGTTGGTTTGTGCGCGTGCCAGACGTTGGCTGAAACCTTCCAACGGTCTCCGGGACCGTAACGTTTGCTGGTCTTATTTCACAACTTCCGGGATTTGAAACAACCAGGTGGGTGGAGCCGATGTTATGGACGGCCAAAACCTACTAGTTTTAGCGTAAAACAGACAGCCCAAGATGGACGGCCAAAACCTACGAGTTTTAGCGTATGTCATACAGCCCAAGATGGACGGCCAAAGCCTACTAGTTTTAGCTTCATGTCAAGACTGTCCGACACGGATTGATAAGGACAAGGTGTGCCACTTTGAAAGACACAAATCAAAGAGTTGGCTAATCATTTCTACTGCGGCAACACGTGCAATTATTCACTTAGTTTCAACGACCACAGCCCGTCCAAATATTCACTTAGTTTACACTTCAGCAACCTGTCCAACCATTCACTTGGTTTACGCCACAGATTAATTATTCTTTGAAAAAGTTGCCACTGTCTGATGCATAAACAAATTAAGACTACTCTACGATGCTGTCGCACACCATTGCTATTAGTATGTTTGATAAGGTAAATGAAGCACATAAACATAAACAAAACCAACTAAAAACCAAAAAAATGAAAAATGTTAAAAAAAAAAAAAAAAATAGTTTTTTTGCAGGAAAGTAGGAAAAAACTAAAGGTTTTGAAATTGAAAAAGTTGCCACTGTCTGATGCATAAACAAATTAAGACTACTCTACGATGCTGTCGCACACCATTGCTATTAGTATGTTTGATAAGGTAAATGAAGCAAATAAACATAAACAAAACCAACTAAAAACCAAAAAAATGAAAAATGTTAAAAAAAAAAAAAAAATAGTTTTTTTGCAGGAAAGTAGGAAAAAACTAAAGGTTTTGAAGCAATCCTGTTGAAAATTGATTCCTAATACGGCAATAATTCAAGTTTACAAACAAAACAGATATTTTAAAAATGTTATTCCTCCCTCTTTCTTTCTGTTTGTTTTTCTTTTTTACCTCTTAAATATACTACCATAGTTCTTATTCCCCTTTAATACTATTACGAGTTGTGCAACACTGCGGGTATGGCCAGAGAGATGGTCACTCAATCAGCTTTTGTCCATCCAACTTCACAATTCACATGAAGCGGGCGCTGCTTCGCGTCTTAGAGTCCTGGGTAGAAGTCACGCTGGGTTCCGATTCATGACCATTGCTCGGGGGGGGGGGGGGTCTTGCGTTCTTCATCAAACACCTTCTTAATGCCACACCTTCTTCAACACACACACCTTCTTGATCACACGCCCCACACTTAAAGCTCTCTGAAAGCTGCGAGCGAGTCTTCTTCATCACATACCCCCTTGATCAAACACCCTCTTAATTCCACACCTTCTTCATTACGCACACCACACTTTAAGCTCACCATTGCTGGAGGCACACCTTCTTCATCGCAAAAAGTAATACTTCCATCTCTTCATTGCTGGAAACACACCTTCTTCATCACACACCACTTAAGCCAGACATGTCGTAAAGTTCAGAAGCGTTCTATTTTCGGCAACAGGTAAAAAGGTGTTAATTTCTTATTGTGGGCCAGTGACGTCATCCTCTCTTTGATACCAGTGCAATGGGGAAAAGAGAATATTTAGAATTTAATATGCGACCCCCACCCCAGACTTTTCCTCTCGACTAGAACACATTACCACCAGACATCAGCAACATCTAACCGTACCCAGCACTATCCAGTGAACACAAGACCAACCAACCAAACCTCGTCCTATCCACACCACCCCAGCAACATCCACTCCACAACAGCAACATTTATTCCACTCTAGCACATCCACTCCACACTGGGTAACTGTTAACCAATCACTAGGGATTACCTGATAATCTAGGGCTGTGGATCACCTGCTAACCCAGGGCTGGGGATTACCTGCTAACCCAGGACTATGAATTACCTGCTAACCCAGGACTAGGGATTACCTGCTAACCCAGGACTAGGGATTACCTGCTAACCCAGGACTAAGGATTACCTGCTAACCCCGGACTAGGAATTACCTGCTTACCCAGGACTAGGGATTACCTGCTAACCCAGGACTGGGGATTACCTGCTAACCCAGGACTAGGGATTACCTGCTATTCCCGGACAAGGGATTACCTGCTAACCCCGGACAAGGGAATACCTGCTAACCCCGGACAAGGGAATACCTTCTAACCCCGGACAAGGGATTACCTGCTAACCCCGGACAAGGGAATACCTTCTAACCCCGGACAAGGGATTACCTGCTAACCCCGGACAAGGGATTACCTGCTAACCCCGGACAAGGGATTACCTGCTAACCCCGGACAAGGGATTACCTGCTATCCCCGGACAAGGGATTACCTGCTATCCCCGGACAAGGGATTACCTGCTAACGTAGAATTAGGTATAAACTGATTACATTACAAATGTATTATATAAAGACACATTACATTACAAATGTATTATACAAAGACACATTACATTACACATGTATTATATAAAGACACATTACATTACAAATGTATTATATAAAGACACATTACATTACAAATGTATTATATAAAGACACATTACATTACAAATGTATTATATAAAGACACATTACATTACAAATGTATTATATAAAGACACATTACATTACAAATGTATTATATAAAGACACATTACATTACAAATGTATTATATAAAGACACATTACATTACAAATGTATTATATAAAGACACATTACATTACAAATGTATTATATAAAGACACATTACATTACAAATGTATTATATAAAGACACATTACATTACAAATGTATTATATAAAGACACATTACATTACAAATGTATTATATAAAGACACATTACATTACAAATGTATTATATAAAGACATCATGTGTATTTGTTTCTAAGCAATAATAAAATTATAGGACCCGATTGACTCCCACTAGACACACACGACGCTCCACACACCACCAAACCCCACACACCACCAAACCCCACACACAACCAACTAAACAAAAAATAAACACCCACACACACAACCAATCCCCCCTCCCCAGATATAACCTCCCACGCCCAGCCAGTCACCAACACACAGCCCCCCCCCCTTCCCCACCACTCACGCAAGCAACCTCCCTTACACAATCAACCCCACACACAACAACCCACACACAACAATACCTCCCCTCACAACCAACCCTCACGCACAAACCATCCCCACGCAACTCACGGCCACATGCACTCATACTCCACCCACACACACACAATCCACCCAGCAATCACCTTTCCACCATGTAAAAAAAAAAAAAAGTTTACATGCTTTCATTTACCCATATCCCAAGAGGAAAAAAATCATTGAATAATGCAGTCATCAATTTCGGGTGACGCAGTGTCACGTGGGGTGAGTACACGAAACTGACGTCACGAAACCAACCCTCACGCACAAACCATCCCCACGCAACTCACGGCCACATGCACTCATACTCCACCCACACACACACAATCCACCCAGCAATCACCTTTCCACCATGTAAAAAAAAAAAAAGTTTACATGCTTTCATTTACCCATATCCCAAGAGGAAAAAAATCATTGAATAATGACGTCATCAATTTCGTGTGACGCAGTGTCACGTGGCGTGAGTACACGAAACTGACGTCACGAATACATTATCGGAAACGTGTGTGCACACGTGGCAAGGGGTGATGTAGTGTTATCGTTGGGCTCAGTCTGACAGCTTCAGCTTCTGCCTGGCACACCACCACCACCGCTGCTGTTAGAAGATATGTTGACGGGACGTGACCCCATTCGAAGGTTTACCGCTTGAAATCATTTTTTTTTTTTAATTTAGTTTGATCTGGAAAGATGTTTGTTTTAAAAAGTAATTAAACAACACATGCCACATATTTGGAGACAATGTTATTTAATTTTTGAGACATTTTAACGATATGCGTCTTCGACTTGGAGAGATGTTATTTGATATTTGAAACATGTTAACTACAAATGTCTTGGACTTGGAGATGCGTCATTTGATATTTGAGACATGTTAACTACAAATGTCTTGGACTGGGAGATGTGTCATTTGATATTTGAGACTTTCAAAAAAATTCGAAACGTACTGTGTCATTAATTTACGTCTTTCAAAATATTTCTTCTTTTTTTTGTTTGTATTCCGGTGCAAATTGGTCAAAAGACCATATAACAATGTGCATCTGCAAGGATCAAGCGATCGTAAGACCAATGTGCCTCTGTACTGATCCTCTGTTGTTCTATAAGTTATCCCAATGACATTATGTTACGCTTCACAAATAGACATAGGCTACCGTCTATTGGACAAAGTTTGTTGTGTTTAATTTGAGAAGCGTGACGCTGTCCCCCCAACCTACACAGAAGTTGTGTCTCTTTAATTTTTATGTTACAAGGGTTGTTTTGGTTGGTTCAAAAAAATATGTGATGAATATTTATTAGTGGAACCAATAAAGCGCGCGCTCACATTACAATAGTTTAGGCGCGTGCCCTTCCTTTGTTATAAACATGTTTAAACATTGTGGGATTTGATAAGGGAGGAAACGATTGAAGGTCGTACAACTAGGTCAACGTCTAACTAGGCAGACACATAATTACGTCAACGTATAACTAGGTCAACACATAACCAGGCCCACGCGTAACCAGGCCAGCGCGTAACCAGGCTAACGCATAACTAGGTCAGCCTATAACTAGGTCAGCGTTTAACTAAATCAACGTATAACTGGGCCAACGTATAATCAGGCCAGCGCATAACTAGGTCAACTTTTGACTAGATAAAAGTATAACTAGGCCAGCGTTTAAATAGGTCAATGCAAAAAAGGGCTGTAACTGTTAAACAAAACTCACTAGCCCCCTAAAACGGTTGTCCCATAGTATGCCTCTTGTTCCTACAAACAATCTCAGCAAAGCTACTGACGTCATCAACGTTGATGCAACACATTGCCACAAACCTGTCAGATCTCGACGGTTTCAACATTAAATCAACGATTATTGCCCTTGCCTTGCCATCTGGCTTAAAACTTTGATTGAACTATTTCTCTTCACCACAAACAATTCGATATTTCATTTGCAGGTAAGTAAAGGTCAATGCTCTTTTACTCTTCTCAATTTGAGAGTTAAAAAAAAAGAAATAAAAGAATATATTTCATGACCTCCCCTAGACAACTACTTCAATTCATGTCATCGTATCTTTAACAACATCTCCCTACGCTGTTCCTTATAGCTCACTCATCGATTATAGCCTCCCTTCAACGAAACCACGATGATCTCCCCCTGCCCCTCCCCCCCCCCCCCCCCCCCCCCAGATCCCCCCCGCCCCCACCCTCCCCCCCCCCCCCCCCCCACACATCCCCCCCCCCCCCCCCCCCACTGAAAACGAGACCACCTACTCGTGTCTATTTGCACAGCGTCCGCTCCAAAGACGATCCACCCGATGTGCGGCTTGGTGCGCACGGCATCCGTGCACCCAATCCACTCCGAGCAAAAAACAAGGAGGCACGGAATCTACAACAACGAAACTGACTGGAATAACAACCGTATGGTGTGTTGCGCCTTTCCAAGTCGGCGTCTGCCAGGACGTATTTCTAACGTTTAATCTGAGAAGCGATTTTTTGGTTGTAGTTTTTTTTTTTGTTGCTCGTGTTATTTTTAGAGATGGCTAACATTGGCCACATTCAAGTGAATATTAATAGATCCATATTTGACCGTATTGAGTTTCAAGTACATATGTCATCATTCGCGTGACATAACACAGAGTGGGGGGGGGAGGGGGGATAAACATAGCAAACATATTGTTCATCCCTTGTGACATGACACATCTGTCATCTTTTGTGTCGTGACACATCACATGGGCCCGAGTTAAATATATCAAGCACATCTGTCATCATTCATGTGACATCGCACGTACTTCATCATTCGTGTGGCATGATGCGTAGATCTGAGTCAAAGATTTTAAGCTCACACGTGTTGCATTTGGTCTGACCTAGGAGCAGATAAGGTCCTTTGATCAACCCCATAACATCGGTTGATAGTTGAACACAACAATGATGAGATCGCATCAACTCCACCCGTACAGCCCACGCCCATCAAAACACCACAACCCGACTCAATCCCACCACTCAATCACACCACACAGACCCACACAATGACACCACACAGTCCCACACAATCACACCACAAAGTCCCACACAGTCACACCACAAAGTCCTAAACAGTCACAGCACATATTCCCACACAATCACACCACACAGTCCCTCACAGTCAAACCACAAAGTCCCACATAGTTACACCACAAAGTCCCAAACAGTCACACCACATATTTCCACACAATCACACCACACAGTCCCACACAATCAGACCAGTACAAACACCACCTCACCCCTTTCCGAATTACTAACCACAATCCAACACTAACACACCGCCACAACTTCACCATATAAAACTATGACAAACCAATCCAATCAAACCAATCCCCCCACCCAATCATACCACCACAATTCCACCCAATCACACAACCCCCCCCAATCACACCCCCACAATTCCACACAATCACACAATCCCACCCAATCACACCACCACAATTCCACTCACACAATCCCACCCAATCACACCGCCACAATTCCACTCAATCACACAATTCCACCCAATCACACACACAACCTCCCGATGAATTACACCACCACCTGGCGCCCCACCACATTTCACCGAACACCAAAACCCCTTTTGTATTCTTCCACCTCCAGAACCATTCTACGCCTCTCTGTCCCGACCCTTCCCCTCGGACTCTCTTTCTGGAGGCAGAATCCATGTTACATTCCCCCCCCCCCACACACACACACTAAAACGAGCATTTCCGACATCCGAGAGCATCAAAGAAAAACAGGGACCCTTCCCCTCGGACTCTCTTTCTGGAGGCAGAATCCCTGTTACCTTCCCCCCCCCCCCACACACACACACTAAAACGAGCATTTCCGACATCCGAGAGCATCAAAGTAACACAGGGGCCCTTTTAACCTTAATTTCCTTTTCACATGACGAACACCTGCCCCAAATCACTGGAGCCCCGTTACCATAAATAACTAGCAGTAAGCATTTTGTTAGCTCACATCCATCCCACGTTTAGCACTCTCAGGGGCGTGTGTACCATGAGGGGTTTTTTTTTCCCCCTGAACAATAAACATGGGAAAAATTTTAAAAATCATGACATTGTAAAAAAAAAAATAATAGCTATTTTTGGATTATAATAATTCGATCGATGTGGTGAAAAATGACCGAGATGAAATCGGGTCTACTTTGTAGATATATCTATAATGCCTGCATTCGTAAGTAAAAGTTTAACCGACATTTTGAAATCACTTCACCTACAAAATTATAAAAAATATGAAATCATTTGCCTGGATTTCAAACACGATCATTGCTCAAAGAGCAGACACGCACATAAAAGGGGGGGGAGACAAGCATGACACCGGTCAGGGGGAGGGGACAAGGATGGCACTGGTCAGGGGCCCGAGCTAGCCGGGGGGGCTCACCCTTTTTCCAGTTTTTTATATATATATATATATATACGCTTTAAAAAATGCGAACTTGTTTGAAAAACAAAAGGGCCCCAACTCTGTCAGCTGCCTGGGGCCCAGAATTTCAAAGGTTTGGGCCTGAATAAAAACTGTGCTTTGTCATTGCTCATTACAAACTGTGTATTGCATTACACCTCACAAACTGTGTTTTGTCATTGCTCATCACAAACTTTGTTTTGTCATTACTCATCCCAAACTGTGTTTTGTCATTGCCCATCACAAACTGTGTTTTGTCATTACTCATCACAAACTTTGTTTTGTCATTACTCATCACAAACTGTGTTTTATCATGATTGATCATCACAAACTGTGTTTTGTCATTGCCCATCACAAACTGTGTCTTGTCATTGCCCATCACAAACTGCTTTTTGTCATTGCTCATCACAAACTGTGTTTTGTCAATGCTCATCACAAACTGTGTCTTGTCATTGCTCATCACAAACTGTGCTTTGTCATTGCTCGTGCGACCTGGTTTCTTGCTGTGAATTCCGTCTCGTACCATGCAATAGGGACGTTGTCAATTAAATGTTTGAGGGGATTACTGCTGGTCAGACGTTGTCAACATCACATTTACCAACCCATTTAATTCACAACTACATTCACAATTATTTTACAACTACCGACATATTTAACTGACTAATACTTTCACATTTAACACACAAATTCTCAGACACGTAAAGGTTCAGTTGAATGGCATCAAGGAAAGTAGTTGCATCGAGTCACACCAAAACTACCTAAATCTAGCCGGCGTTTCATGATTCATAAAAAGTGCTGCGAATTTTACATTTTAGTCCTGCTATTCCGGCCAAAGGTCCAGGAATGATTACCGTTCTCAAAAATGATGCACTTCACACCGTTCAGGTGTCAAAGTAGATACAAACTCACCACAATGTTCTCATTAGATGAGGAAAGCGTCCAGAAAAAGAGGTTCATTTTTGCGCACCAATAAATACTGACGTCAAGGGATCGTGGCGGACCTAAGCCCGCTGCACTAAGCATCATTATTTTTAAATAGATTTGTATAGCTCATATAAGGAAAAAAAATACAAAAAATGTATCTAAGGAGACAGGCATTTCCCATGACCAGAAACGCGCCTCTTCCATCCTACACAATCTCATCAACAGAACTGTCAGGAAAAAAACAAAATAAATTTAAAAATATCAAATTTTCAAAATTACCGACATATGTCACCTGTAACATGTCATCCAGTCGTGACACACGAACATCCAATCACGACACACTACATCAAATCACGTCACACTACAGCCAATCACGACACACTATATCCCGTCACAACACATTCCCTCCAGTCACGACACATTAGAGCCAATCATGACACTCTGCATTGAGTCACTACATTCAATCACGACACACTACATCTAGTCACGAAACTCTTTATCCAGTCACGACAAATTACAATCAGTTACGACACACTACATCCAGCCATGACACACTCCATCAAGTCACGACACACCACTTCCAGTTACGACAATATTAGATTTTGACTAAGACCAGAAAATTGGACACAACATGTTTCTTAAAAATTATAAAAATCAGTTATTCATTGGAAAAAGTGATTTAACATGGGTTCTGGGGGTCCATAAAATTTGATTCGATTTTTATCTTTAATTTATAAATTCACCAGGACAGACACTAATGCCAATTTTCCAGCCACACATTTTCATCGCTATCTGGCTTTTTATTTGATTGTGTGTACAGAGTACTTAATATATATATATATATATATATATATATATATATACAAGGGTGTCACTGCAAAGAATTTCATGTATGCATAGCTGATCATTAGACTGAGTATGAAGGAGCAGAACACGTTTTTGTGTCATTCCAAAAGGTAAACAAACTGGTAAGTAACATAAAAGTAAGCATTTTACATCTTGACAGGAACACATTCTTATGAACCGAAAATATGGAGTAAAATTAGACATTTGTATGGTCGGCTTATAAGCGGGTTTTTGCAAAAACGGGTCATATGAAAGCAGTTTTATATAGGGGGGTCGGCTTATATGCGATGTAGGCTTATATGCGAGTATATACGGTATGTCGCAAACTGAATTATGTCACAAACTGGATTCTGTCATTAAAATGAATTCTGCCACAAACTGGATTATGTCACAAACTGCATTATGTTATATATCTAAAAAAATAATGATGTCACGAAATGAATTATGTTCCAAACTGAAATATGTCACATACTTAATTATATCACACACGCTAAGTAAAACGTTGCTGTGTCCCCTGAATGAATTATTTCCAAGATCCTTTAATGTCGATGCCATTGAATCTCGAATATCCCGATAAAAGACTTACAAGTAGGACATAACACTTTCAAATTTCTGTGAACAGAACAGCGTTTCATCTTATACCTTAATCCTCAAGCTTCCATCCTTGCAGACCTAAAGAACATTTTGATATACATAAACTGTCAATATAGGATAATAAAATTGTCACGGACAGTAGAAATAAAATATCAAGGACAGAATGCAGAACATTTCCGGTGACAGAATTCGGAACACTGCATTTATTAACAATGTGTGATGCTGTGTAATATGAACGTAAAAGGGACGCATCGTAAATATCCATTCCGTTTTTCCAGCTAAATGCAGTGGAAGATGCCCATTATTTTTAGATCCGCTAGGTTCAGCGCAGGTTATCCATTATTTTTGGATCAGCAAGTACAACCAAAGATATCTATTATTTTTTTTTAGATCAGCTCGTGCAACCAAAGATATCCATTATTTTTAGAATCAGCTCCGAACAGCGCAACATATCTATTATTTTAAGAACAGCTATGAACAGCGCAAGAGATCCATTATTTTTTAGACCAGATGTGTACAGCGCAAGATATCCATTATGTTGAAATCATCTATGTACAGCGCAAGGAACAAACATTATAAACTATCAGAAGTGAGCTTTCGAATTTACCTTTTTGAACCGGTGCTCTCTAGATATGTCTCACACCACAAGTTCAATTGGTGCGCTCAAAAGGTGCGTATTTTTGCACTTGGGATAAAAAAAAAATAAAAAAAACTATTCAGAAACCATAAGAGCTCTCAACTCTTTTTTTTTAAAAAAAAATCCGTACGTTCTTATGAGATACGGAACTCATGTTTCAAAATTCCCGAATCTCCATAGGGCCCCCCATGGGGCGCCTGATCAATAGCCAAAGGGGTGAATCCGGAAAGCTACACCACATGCACTTTTGAAATGTTATCACCTGGAGACGTACCGGCTGACACCAGGTCATTGTTACACGTGAAATGTAGAATGGTGACTAAGGCTTGGCAGGTGAAGGGGGGAAACAATCTCGACATCTCAAGAATGTTTCCCTTTTTTATCTCCCTTTAATCGGTTTTTTTCTACGTATCATTTATCCGTCTTGCAGACTACGTGATTGCTAGATGTCAAAAAGAGACAAGAGAAGAAGTCAAAAAGACGAGAGAGATGTGAGAGAGAAAGAGAGAAACAAAAAAAAAAAACATAATGTTTGGTCTTACCGTCAATAGCCTTCTTCCTCTACGCAGTTTTCAGAATTGGCGGGAAAATTGCGAGTTGCAGACGTGAACGGGGGTCAACTACGGTTATGGTTGGCGATAAATGGCACTTTGGGGTCTTGGTCATGTGAATATTCCTGGGCATGCGCAGCGGGGTGAGATGCGCGGTCTGGTGTCACCTCCCTAATAAGTAAATGTCTCGGGAACTTTGATGATACTCTCAGCGCACTCACGTCAACATTCTCCACGGATTAACTAATCAATGGATATTTAAATTTTAAAAAAAAAACCACACGCACAAAAACCTTATCTAGTGAAATATTAAGCTAGACTTTAATACAATATACATTAGCCATCCCTAATAATAGATTCTGCGATAACTTTACTCTGAAAGATCATTGAAAATAGTGACGTGTCTTAACTCCAAAAAAAATAATCGAAACAACTCTGCGGAAGCTGCTAAAGAACTCGCTCTTACTGTCCCCGCTGACCGACTCTAGAGGTCTATTTATATTATCGACATGGTGTTGGATGTTGTCAATTGGACTGTTGACACCCCCCTGCCAACATCCCCCTTTTGTTTGTTTGTTTTTGTGGGTTTTTTTTTGTTTTTTAGTCTCCGGATATATGATCCAACAATAAGAATAACGTCATAGCTCTGACGTTTCATTGTCAGTGAGAAACAAGATGCCTGCGAAAAGTTTGATGGCGAAGTATGGCGAAGTTTGGCGCTGGCGGACAACCACAGCACCGTGACGCCAGTCGGATGTCGGATTGTCGTAAACACACCACGATGGCGCTAAGACAGTTGTTGAAACGTCTCACGAAATTTGACGTAACATACTTCGGAGTTTCTTTATCTACGACCTCATTAGTGGGATCATCTCCGTTGGAAGCAAGGGAGATAAGGATGCCATGGACAGAACGTTGGATTATCTTTCCCGCTGTTAAATGGGTTATTGGTACAGAGAGGGGGACCGAGAGGGGGACAGAGAGGGGGACAGAGAGGGGGACAGAGAGGGTACCGAGAGGGGGACAGAGAGGGGGACAGAGAGGGGGACAGAGAGGGGGCACAGAGGGGGACAGAGAGGGGGACAGAGAGGGGGACAGAGAGGGGGACAGAGAGGGGGACAGAGAGGGGGACAGAGAGGGGGNTACATAATTTTAAATGCAATTCAAGAGTTAAAAATTCATGTACGACAAAAAAAAATCAGACCATATAAATTGAATGTCAACATTAATTTTCATTTTTCAAACCAATAAAAATAATTATATTACAGCAAGAGAGAAAGAGAGTGGTTAAGAGAGTGAGACAGAGAGTGCAACAGTTTTATTTGTTTAATGCTCAACCAATTTTTAGAAGAAGGACACAACTCAATTATGCAATGGTTGTCTCAGTTCTGTCAGCACTGTCAAGAAAGAAGATTATCCAAAGTAGTTTCGATTTCAATATTTCATTTTTTTTTTGTTTTTTAATCTGGAAAAGCTAGAAATAATGTAAAAATGTGTTGTGCAAGTGTAAGTGTAATGAAAGGGTTAATTTGGTGTTTTGACGCAATTTCAAGGAGTCGGTGTTAATACAGTGCGAGCTTTGGGTGAAGTCGGTGCAAAATCGGTGTTGAGTTTGTGTTAAAATGGTGTAACAAGCATATCATCCTGACATATAATATAAAATTCAGGAAGGACATACGAGTAGGCCTGGTGTGTACGCAAACTTTGGGGACATGGGTTGTAGATATAAAGCGGTTTCGAACAGCTCAAAAACTATTCGCAGTTTATCAGATTCTACTAGTTTTGAGATCTAGCCCCTTGTGTAGATTAAGTCGTGTTTTGAACAGCTCAATAGTAACTTTGGGGGAAAACGGCAAAAAATGAGACAAGGAGTGACAGATGACATGACACGAGAAATAAACTGGGAAGATGACACTTTAAAATATTTTATAGTGTGAGGCGCTGGAGGATCTGACAGCGGAGTTGACATCTGTTAAATGACAGGGAACACGACGTGGCAGATCGTCAGAGAGGCGTTGGTGTGTGCCGCCGGCGTGAGCGTGTTTGAGAGGACTGCTGGGTTGAACCTTGAGTGAGTGAGTGAGTGAGTGAGTGAGTGAGTGAGTGAGTGAGTGAGTGAGTGAGTGAGTGAGTGAGTGAGTGAGTGAGTGATAAGAAAGTAAAACAAAGGCTATGGATATTTGAGACTATTGCGCAATTGAGCTATTTGTAAGTTTTACGCGGGGGGGGGGGAGGGGGGAAGGAATGATTGCGCACCACACACCAATGAGAAAAGTCACTGCCCCCCCCCTCCCCCCCCCCAATCCCTTAAACCCCCACACCAAAATATCGCTCCTCCTCCCCCCCCCCCGGTCTATTTATGTACTTAAAGCTTGTTATTTTTGCTTTAAACCACTAAGTTGAAGGTGTCTATCTCCTGGGGCACGGCTCGGGTTGACCGTGGCACGGCACAGTGTATCTTTGAAGATAGTAGAATCTGATCCGCGGCCAGCAATCTCGGCTCGTCCTGTCGTGGCCGCCATTGTTGCAGGGCGACAACCCGTTGCATTGTTTTATCTCTAAGTGGTTTGTGACGGTGGTGGCGTCCCTTTGGTAGACAAAGAGGACGACGTACTGAGCAATCGGGATTCCATTACAGAGGGTGCAGGGGTCAAGTCTAAGTGGGTAGGTGCAGGGGTCAAGTCTTAGTGGGCAGGTGAAGGGGTCAAGTCTTAGTGGGTAGGTGCAGGGGTCGAGTCTTAGTGGGTAGGTGCAGGAGTCAAGTCTTAGTGGGTAGGTGCAGGGGTCAAGTCTTAGTGGGTAGGTGCAGGGGTCAAGTCTTAGTGGGTAGGTGAAGGGGTCAAGTCTTAGTGGGTAGGTCAAGGGGTCACGTCTTAGTGGGTAGGTGAAGGGGTCAAGTCTTTGTGGGTAGGTGAAGGGGTCAAGTCTTAGTGGGTAGGTGAAGGGGTCAAGTCACAGTGGGTAGGTGAAGGGGTCAAGTCTCAGTGGGTAGATGCAGGGGTCAAGTCTTAGTGGGTAGGTGCAGGAGTCAAGTCTTAGTGGGTAGATGCAGGGGTCAAGTCTTAGTGGGTAGGTGCAGGGGTCAAGTCTTAGTGGGTAGGTGAAGGGGTCAAGTCTTAGTGGGTAGGTGAAGGGGTCAAGTCGTAGTGGGTAGGTGAAGGGGTCAAGTCTTAGTGGGTAGGTGAAGGGGTCAAGTCTTAGTGGGTAGGTGAAGGGGTCAAGTCTTAGTGGGTAGGTGAAGGGGTCAAGTCTTAGTGGGTAGGTGAAGGGGTCAAGTCTTAGTGGGTAGGTGAAGGGGTCAAGTCTTAGTGGGTAGGTGAAGGGGTCAAGTCTTAGTGGGTAGGTGAAGGGGTCAAGTCTTAGTGGGTAGGTGAAGGGGTCAAGTCTTAGTGGGTAGGTGAAGGGGTCAAGTCTTAGTGGGTAGGTGAAGGGGTCAAGTCTTAGTGGGTAGGTGAAGGGGTCAAGTCTTAGTGGGTAGGTGAAGGGGTCAAGTCTTAGTGGGTAGGTGAAGGGGTCAAGTCTTAGTGGGTAGGTGAAGGGGTCAAGTCTTAGTGGGTAGGTGAAGGGGTCAAGTCTTAGTGGGTAGGTGAAGGGGTCAAGTCTTAGTGGGTAGGTGAAGGGGTCAAGTCTTAGTGGGTAGGTGAAGGGGTCAAGTCTTAGTGGGTAGGTGAAGGGGTCAAGTCTTAGTGGGTAGGTGAAGGGGTCAAGTCTTAGTGGGTAGGTGAAGGGGTCAAGTCTTAGTGGGTAGGTGAAGGGGTCAAGTCTTAGTGGGTAGGTGAAGGGGTCAAGTCTTAGTGGGTAGGTGAAGGGGTCAAGTCTTAGTGGGTAGGTGAAGGGGTCAAGTCTTAGTGGGTAGGTGAAGGGGTCAAGTCTTAGTGGGTAGGTGAAGGGGTCAAGTCTTAGTGGGTAGGTGAAGGGGTCAAGTCTTAGTGGGTAGGTGCAGGGGTCAAGTCTTAGTGGGTAGGTGCAGGGGTCAAGTCTTAGTGGGTAGGTGCAGGGGTCAAGTCTTAGTGGGTAGGTGAAGGGGTCAAGTCTTAGTGGGTAGGTCAAGGGGTCACGTCTTAGTGGGTAGGTGAAGGGGTCAAGTCTTTGTGGGTAGGTGAAGGGGTCAAGTCTTAGTGGGTAGGTGAAGGGGTCAAGTCTTAGTGGGTAGGTGCAGGGGTCAAGTCTTAGTGGGTAGGTGCAGGGGTCAAGTCTCAGTGGGTAGGTGCAGGGGTCAAGTCTCAGTGGGTAGGTGCAGGGGTCAAGTCTCAGTGGGTAGGTGAAGGGGTCAAGTCTCAGTGGGTAGGTGAAAGGGTCAAGTCTTAGTGGGTAGGTGAAAGGGTCAAGTCTCAGTGGGTAGGTTAAAGGGTCAAGTCTCAGTGGTTAGGTGAAAGGGTCAAGTCTCAGTGGGTTGGTGAAAGGGTCAAGTCTCAGTGGGTAGGTGAAGGGGTCAAGTCTCAGTGGGTAGGTGAAAGGGTCAAGTCTCAGTGGGTAGATGCAGGGATCAAGTCTCAGTGGGTAGATGAAAGGGTCAAGTCTCAGTGGTTAGGTGAAAGGGTCAAGTCTCAGTGGGTAGGTGAAAGGGTCAAGTCTCAGTGGGTAGGTGAAAGGGTCAAGTCTCAGTGGGTAGGTGAAAGGGTCAAGTCTTAGTGGGTAGATGCAGGGATCAAGTCTCAGTGGGTAGGTGAAGGGGTCAAGTCTCAGTGGGTAGGTGAAAGGTATAAGTCTTAGTGGGTAGGTGAAAGGGTCAAGTCTCAGTGGGTAGGTGAAAGGGTCAAGTCTCAGTGGGTAGGTGAAAGGGTCAAGTCTCAGTGGGTAGGTGAAAGGGTCAAGTCTCGGTGGGTAGGTGAAAGGGTCAAGTCTTAGTGGGTAGGTGAAAGGGTCAAGTCTCAGTGGGTAGGTGAAAGGGTCAAGTCTCAGTGGGTAGATGCAGGGATCAAGTCTTAGTGGGTAGGTGAAAGGGTCAAGTCTTAGTGGGTAGATGAAATGGTCAAGTCTCAGTGGGTAGATGCAGGGATCAACTTAGGGGGTAGGTGAAAGGGTCAATTCTCAGTGTGTAGGTGAAGGGGTCAAGTCTCAGTGGTTAGATGCAGGGATCAAGTCTCA